ATTTCACTTTTTATTTATTTTAAATGTATTAGCTTTGACGGACTCTTATAAATGTACATCTGCTGTTGAGCCAGTTTTGGCTTTATGGATAAGCATATGCAGTTTTCTGGGCAGCATTTTCAGAAGTGGTTTGGCAATATATTCTATCTGTGGCTAACAGAAGAGTTAGCCCAGAGCCACCCAGCTATAAAGCAGGATGAAATCTCAGTCTTCTCATGCTAATCCAGCACCTTTATTGCTACACCGAAGTATCTCTCAGGGACTATGGGAATACCCTTCAAATACCTGAAAGGATTTCATAGTGAAGAAGATCACAATCTGGGTTTTTTTTCCCCTAGTTTGCAGGATAAGGAATAATTACCTTTAATGGCGCTTCCTTGTCTGATCTTCTGCATTAAATAAGCCAGACAAAAGCAGGAAAACTTCCCGATTACAGATTCAGTCAAGTCATGCAGATCCTTTGTGCAGTGTCAGAGTTATGGAGAGTTGCTAAGCTAGGAAATTCTGAGAGCTTGAAGTCCACATATTTTAAAACTGCTAATCCTCGACTTACAACTATTCATTTAGTGACTATTCAAAGTTATAACAGCCCTGAAAAAAGTGACCGTTGACCGTTTTTCAGTTACGACCTTTGCAGCATCCCCTATGGTCACGTGATCAAAATTCAGATACTTGGCCACTGGTTCATATTTAAGATGTTTGCCATGTTCCCGGGATCATGTGACCTTTTGCGATCTCCTCTCAAGCAAAGTCAGTGGGGAAGCCAGATTCACTTAACAGGGTTACTCATTTAGCAACTGTGGTGGTCCACTTAACAACTGTGGCAGGAAAGGTCACAAAATGGGGCAGAACTCTACAACTGTCTTGCTTAGCAACAGAAATGTTGGACTCAATTTTGGTCGTAAGCTGAGGACTGCCTGCACTGTAGTCAGGCTGAGCCATCGGGAGCAGCTGGAATTTTGTTGTGAAAGGCAGGAGGAGGAGTGGTGCAACAACAACAATTATATCTTATCTAAAAATGCACTTGTTCCTTTTGAAAGGCTTCCTCATTTTGCTGTCAGCAAGTTAACAATTATTACTCCCACCCCACCCCTGCGGTTTAACGAATCCACCTATTCGTTATAAGATAGGAAATTCTGGTTTATGTTGGGCTCCCTGTAAGGATCCTTTCCCTGTGATCCTTAATATCTATAGACCCCTCACATCCTGGACATAAACTGTTTCAACTTCTTCCCTCAAAATGATGCTATAGAGCACTGCATACCAGGACAACTAGACACAAGGACAGTTTTTCCCCCAAACACCATCACTCTGCTAAACAAATAATTCCCTCAATCCTGTCCAACTATTTACAAAGTCTGCATTACTATTACTGTTAATCTTGTCATCATTCTTTATCTCCCATCCCCTCCCACTTGTAACTGTATGACTGTAACTTTGTCGCTTGTATCTGTTGAAAGGTGTCAAAATGCCTTTCTTTCAAGGATTCGATTTTCCCGCTGGGAGAGCTCTGGCGCAAGGATACGGACAACTGCTTGAAAGCTGGATCTTTTTATTTTTCAGGAAGGTGGGGAACAGCGAGAAGCCTGCGTTCCTGGGCTAGCTAGCTTCTTATGGTAAGTCCCTGGTTTTTTATACCCTTTTCTCCCTTTGTAAGTTGATTTTGTGTGAGTGTTTGTATTTGTGCTTAATGTTTCAAATCCTGTTTGAGTTTGTCTTTATTCCCGCTGGAGGGCAAACTCCGCGGGGTGGCCAGATTGTATTATTGGTTTTCTGTAATCTCTTTTAGCTTTAAGATAGTTTTTCATATTTGTTCTGTGGCAATCTCCTGTCTGTCCCTTTTGTAATTTATATTTTATGTCTTTTGTCTGTTTTGCTTATTTGGTATATCCTGTGTTTGTAAGGGTTTTCTAAATTATCTTTTGTTTCCTTTTCCTGTTTGTCTAGTTTTCTTAATTACTTAGGCTTTTGTCTATAGGGATTCTTTAATACTTTTTATTTGATTCCTTTTTCTATGTAAGTTTGTTTTCTGGCTGGCCTGATGTTCCCCTTGGGCTTTTCCTGTTTTTGTGACACTACTGCCTTCGTGAAATTCCCTTTCCACATATCCTTACAATCTATATTGTCTGTTTCCTGGTATGGTTTGATCGCCTATTTGTACCCCATGACTATCATTAAGTGTTGTACCTTATGATTCTTGTCTCTTGACAAATGTAACTTTTATGTACACTGAGAACTTTTGCACCAAGACAAATTCCTTGTGTGTCCAATCACACTTGGCCAATAAAGAATTCTATCTTCTACATAAGTTAGGCAACCTACAACTGCAGAGACCTGGATTCTTTCTACAGTCCTCTTCTCTACAATTTTTTTCGCATCTGTGGACTGTATCTCCCGTCTTGTCTGAACTGGCTTGAACACTGGCAGGTTCCTAGATCTTCTAAATGATATTTGACCAGCATTTCCCCCCTTTTTATAACCCTATAATTTTGTGATGGTGAACCTATGGCACGCAGAGCCCTCTCTCTGGACACAAGAGCCATTGCCCCAATTCAGCTCCACCGTGCATGCATGCGCCCGCCTCCTGCCAGCCAGCTGGTCTTCAGGTCTCTACTGTGGAAGCGTGGGGGTGGGAAGGGATGGGATATGTATGGAAGTGATGCACTCATGTGCATGAGTGGGACGTACGTGCTGGGGTCATGCATGCGTGTGGGGGTTCACACGCATGGGAGTTGCATGTGCATGCGTAGGGGTGAGCTGCACATACAGGGGTTGTGCACACATGCATGGGGGCACAAGGGGATGCATGCGTATGCGCAGGGGCATGGGGGGTCACGCATATGCAGGGCACAGGAGTTGTGCGCACCTGTGCAAGGGTACAGGGGTTGCACATGCATGTGCTGGGGTGAGGGGGTTGTGTGCATATGTGCGGGGGGCGGGACGGATGTATTTTGGGTGTATGCGCACATGTGTGCATGCGCTTTGGGCACTTGGTGCCAAAAAGGTTAGCCATCCCTGCTATAATCTCTTCGTTCAAGGTAGAGTCGGAGCAACTGAATGAACCTGAGTGTTTACTGGCCGGATGCTTTTTGTTCTGTATTCTGTACAGTGGTAGATTTTGTCTTCTGTACAGATGCAGATAGATAAACTCAACAAAACATCCGTACAAAGTTTTTATTATTGGTTCATCAGGTATCCTCATAACTCACATTTGTGACGAAGTTCTTCTTTAATGACCAATCCTTTGCATATCTGTTTTGTAGGTAAAAAGATAGTTATCTCCTATTCCCTTTTTCCCATCTTGTAGCGATAGAAATAGAGCAGTTACCACGAGTCTGAGTTTAGCCAAGAGTGAGGAAACCTCCCCCAACCCATCGAGGGTCGATTTAGTGACCAATCAGGATTACAGATGTGGTCATGTGACATGGACTACATTTCCCAGGATAGCTTAACTACATTTACCATGATGCATTCCCTTAAGGGGACAGCTCCCAATTGCTACCTAACTATCCAATTCCCATACACTGACTTTTCCTGATGCCTATGTGGAATTTGCAGCAGAAATTTCCTCTTTGTGCCCTGAGAGAGAAACATCCGCTGCTACCTAGAACGGAACTCTCAACCTTCCAAGTGGGAGGCGAGCGTCTTCACCTCTAGGCTCCCACGCATCAATATGGTTTCAACAAATTAGGAAGTTCTCCCTCCTCTGCAGCACTATTACAGGAGTTAAAGATGGAGTGGTTCTTGGGAGCGGGGGGGGCGGTTGACACAAAAAATAGATTCCTATAATGTTATCATGTGAAATGTGTGACATCTATGACATATAGTTTCCAGGTGGTGTATAGTATCCAGGCCTTTACTTATGACCACAATTGCGACTGGAATTCAGTTACTAAACAATGTGATTCTCATCTGACTTTACAACCTTTTTTTTTGTCATGGCTGTTAAGCAAATCACCATGCTTGTTAAGGGAATCTGATTTCCCCGCTTGACAACCAGTGACTCTTAAGACACTGCAATATGCTCGTTGCCAAAGGCCCAAATTTGATCACGTGAGCATGGAGATGCTACAATGGTCATACGTGTGAAGACCGGTCATAAGCCATTTTTTTTCAGCATTGTTATAAATTCAAATGTTTGCTAAATGAATGCAAGTCCAGGACTACCTGTATAATGCTAATTTTTTTATTTATTAAAGGGATGGGTGACAATAATAGGGAATCCTAGTTTTCATGGATAGCCAATGGGGAGAAATGATGGGGAGTTAGACTCCAGTGTTGCTCAGCTTGACTGAACAGCTTGCCCATAGAGAAGCCTTTTCTGTCTCAAAAATTAATGCGGGAAGAATAAGATGGAAATTATACATCAAAAACTGAAGGTGCTGTGTGTTGAGAGGCATAAAAATAGATACAGAAACAACTACAAAATCTCTAAAAGTAACCACAGGTTTCTCTTTCATTTGACAGGCTATATTTAAAAATTTAACTATAACATATTTTATTTCATGTATTGAACCAGAGGTGGTATTCAGCAGGATCTGACCAGTTCTGGAGAACCAATAGCGGACATTTTGAGTAGTTGGGAGACCCTGCAAATCCCATCTATGACTGGCCCCGCCCCCATCTATTCTCTGTCTCTCATTGAGTCCCACCTGATCAGCTGGGTCTTCTTTTGTTGCCCTGCACAGGAGAACGGAGCTGGAAAGCAGGTTAGTAGGGTGGGGAGAGAATGGGGATTTTACAGTATCCTTTGTCTGCCACGCCCACCAAGCCACGCCCACAGAACCGGTAGTAAATTTTCCTGAATCCCACCACTGTAGTGAACTATTTTTTTTAAAGTAATATAATAGGAGCACGCTCACAAATTTTGTGGGGAACCAGCAAAATCTTCTTCATTTAGAAGTCACTTCCTTTTATGCTTCATTTCTCATATACAAGAGAATGGTATGAGGATTTTAGTGGTTCTTCCCTCGGATAGCCCCTCTTTGCTCCGAGGTGAAACAGCCATTGCTGAAAAAGGCAGCGCACAGTTTGAGGGGGGGGGGGGGGGGGTTTTTTTTTTTTAATTCTGCATGCAAATCCTCAGATGATTACAGACAGTTTCTGACAAATCCAGTAATTCTCTGTATAGCACATATCAGAGTCGATTCCCTTCTTTCCTATAATACCACAGATAGCCCCTGAAGTTTGGTATCTATGAGGGGAAAGAGAAAAACACTTTCAGTTTAGAAAAAAGGGTAAACAAGAGCCATCTGTTCACCCACAAAGACACCTGCCTTCTACAGCCTTCTCTCTCTCTCACACACACACACATATGCGCGCGCGTACACACACACACACAAACACATAAATGCACTCAAACACATACAAAATGGTAATATAAAGGAAGGCGAGTCCTCCATAAATATGTTACGTTTAGTAAACCAGAGACTTTGTTGTCGGGACTGCAATAAGTTATGGAAGCAAAATATTATTATTACAATTTTATCCTGCCTTTATTACTTTATAGGTAATGTGAGGCAATAAACATATACAATACTCCTTCAACTTCTTATTTTCCCCATAGCAACAACCCTGTGAGTTGAATTGGGCTGAGAGAGAGGGACTAGTCACTAGCCCAAGATTACCTAGCTGGCTTTCATGCCTAAGGCAGGACTAGTGTGTTGATGGCCAGCAATTGGCTGTTGTTTCCTTGTGCTGCCAAGTAGTTAGGAGTACTTAGAAGCACAAGGAAACAACAGCCAATTGCTGGCCATCAACAGACCAATCAACCAATAGGAAGGCACCACATAAAAACCACACACAGAATAGCCCAAAGTGTACATTCCAGTAGACTAAACCTCTGGTCCTGGTAACTGACCCAGATTGGATCCTGCAACATAATCGTGGGACACACATATCTTCATTTATGAAGAGGTTCCTTCCCTAATGAAGAGAAAGCTGACCCTATCATCATTTTAAAATGCTTTTAGATTCCATAGAGACTCTAGATATCTATATTATCTAGATTTCTTTCTCGATCTTTTACTTTATTCTGCAAAAAAATCACTATATTACAGAAGGTTTCTTTTGTACTAGAAAGATATTAATACTCACAGTATATGGTTTAATGGTGAGCCGTTGATCCACATCCACTTCTTCTCTGGCAATTTGAATTTGAGCCCAATCCATGTATTAATGTTTGTTTTGTTCTGGATGAATTCCTGTAAAACATCATTTCATTTTCATTACAAGGATGGCTGTTGGAATGTCCTATTACTGAGTTTGTGTTAAATTTCACCAGATGAATTAGCCGCCCAAGTAGATCCCCAACTTCCTGCCAATTATGCCTCTGATGCTTAGCAGGAGAATTTTGTCCCATTCATTTATCCCTCAGGTAGAAAAGGATGGAATAGAATAGATGACAAATAAGCATCAAAGTAAGATCAGTCAAGAAAGTCCCTACTATGTATTCATTTGTCTGATGCCACTTCTCGGAAGTATCACCTGAAGCCTGCTGGGAAATGCTAGCCCATCCATTGAAATATTCCTGTTTAAAATTAAAATAGAAAAACTAAGAAAGTTATGGATTCTTCACCTGCAATGGATTCTTTTACCTGTTCTGCTGTATCAGAAATCATCAACAGTTGAGATCCTTTTGCCACACAGTCCTTGTAGCTTTGGTTCCAGGACTGGATTGAATTAGAAATCCAGTAGCATTTGTCTTTGTATGGAAACCATGTTATAGGGCACACACTGCAGGATCCATTCTCTAGGAAGGAAAACAAATATTTTCTTTTTTTTTTTTTTTGAAAAAAAAGCATGTTTGTAATCAACTCTACAGGTATATTTCAAGCACTTTAAAGTCACTTGGAAAGCTAAGGAGGGGATCCCATTTAAAAATATGACAATTTTTAATGGGTTAGGCAGGGTTATTCATTCAATTTCATGGTGACTTTGCATAGATTAGCATATCCTTTTTTTAAAAGGACATTTTTAAAAAGCTGGCAGCCACAGGAGCATGACGTGGACTGGGTGAGGGGCCTGAGTGGCAGCGGCTTAACCCTGGCTCGCCTTCCTCTCTGCCACCAGCCGCAGGAGGAAGGAAAGGGCAGGCGGGGATCGGGGGTCGCAGCCAGCTGGGAAAGCCGAACTGCTGCCCAGAGCTGCAGGTGAGGGTAGGCAAGGCGGAGGCTGCGGGGCACACCTGGCTTGAAGTTCCCATCCCTTTGTTTGTAAATCTGCCCAAAAGAGGGAGGGGAGGAAACCCCCCCTCAAACCCGGCCCCTTTGTTTGACGCAGAGTCCGGCCTTTCAGAAGACTCAACATATTTTTTGCAGCATGGTGACCAAAATTGGCTGCAATATTCCAGGTGTAGTCTTAGTAGGGTTTTTAAAAGCAGCATAGCTATGAGAATTCTCTCCCTCTCTCTGCTTCTCTTTTTGTGTTTGGCGACTTCCTCAAATTTATCACTGCCTGAATATAGTGGGTCCTAACTCTATCCGAGTAGATAGATTGTCGTTCTGAGAAAGGGGCTTGGGCGGACATGCCCGAAAGAGCTATTAAGAGTAGGATGATGATACCTCCTTGAGGGTGAATGAGTAGTCCAGAAATGCAATGAAACAATCAGTCAACAATAAGAGATGATAGGCATATTTGGGGATAAAAAATTTATGAGAAATTATAACGGAACATTTCAGGAACAGGAACATTTTAGTTAAAAATAGAAAGAGTTACCTGCAGGCGCATTTGTAGGCTCACACAAATATTGCCTTAGACAAGTCCTGAATTTTTGTAATTGGCTGTTTGTTTTGTTTTCATTTTGTTTACAGTGATGTGCATTTGAAATTCCAGTCATTTCCTGGAAGTTTTGTGAGCTTCTGTTTGTCGCTGTTGAGAAACTGCACTTTAGGCCTATAAAACATTAATCCAGAATTATAGTTACATAATTAAAACTGCACAATACCATAAATATTGTATATTTGTATTCTGAATAAAGAGAGACTCCCATCTGGATTCTGCCAGGGATTCATAATAATATTCAATCAGTACTAAAGCTCCATTTAGCACCTTTTGATAGCTTCTCGCAAATTTTATTTTATTATTTTATTGATATCCTGTCTTTATTATTTTTATAAATAACTCAAGGCAGGGAACACACGCAATACTTCTTCCTTCTTCCATTTTCCCCACAACGACATCCAGTGATGTGGCTTGGGCCAAGAGGGAGTGACTGGCCCAAAGTCACCCAACTGGGTTTCGTGTCTAGGGCAGGATTAGAACTCTTGGCTTCTACTAGTGCCTTCAGCACTACACCAAACTGGTTTTCTTTAGTATTTTCACTTGGGACAATTTCTTCATTAAACGAACTGAGAGACCACAAAGCACCATGCAATTGTTTGTATTTTCCTGACCTCTTTACTAAGCAAGATGAGAGCCTGAGGAAAAAGACGATGGACTAGGACGGGGGTGTCGAACTCGATTTCATTGAGGGCTGTATCAGGGTTGTGTTTGACCTTGGGAGCCCCCAGAGGGCGTGGACAGGATGGGCTTGGCAAGCTTGGCATCACTTGTTTCGGGGGTGCTTGTGGTGACCTCAGCGCCCTGCCAGTGAAAACGGGCTCCTGAGCTCCATTTTCAGCTGTGATGGCCTTGTGATGATCCAGGGCATGGCACAAAAATAACGAAGTCACAAAAGTAGATAAATTCCCATTAATACCTCCAACTTGGCCCCCAATATGCAGTTATCTTTGGCTGGAGATCAAACTCTTCCAAAAACAGTCTATAAAGGGGAAAAATGCAATCCGAACCCAAAGTACAGATAAATTAGAAATAAAAAAAACTAATAAACCACGCTGAAGTAATTAACACGACAGGCCAAGATAATAAATTCCAAAATATAACGAAGGACACACAGTTGGGAAAATGCCAAAACCCAGATAAGCCTTAACAAAGATAATGCACACTTTGCTTCCAGCAAGGTGCTGTGTGCAAACGCCATTCTTATATCTTCTTCTCCCAGCTGCAACTAATGAAAGTGATCAGGGCCCTTTTCTCTCCTGTAAGCCACATTGCTCCTCCATTCCTCCCTGCATGCCCTAGGACCATGGTGGTGAACCTATGGCATGCATGCTACAGGTGGCACACAGAGCCATTTGTGCCGGCATGCTAGTTGCAGGCAAACTTAGTTCACTGCACATGTGCGTGCCTCACAGCTGATTTTCGGCAGGTTAGATGTCTTTTTCAGCTTCCCAGAGTCTTGAGGAAGGCTTCTGCAGGCTTTGCAGGCTGAAAACAAGGCCCGTTTCGTCACTTCCTATTTTTCCAGAAATACCAGAAGTGCCTAGTTTTCGGCCTGCAAAGCCTGCAGAAGCCTGCAGAAGCCTTCCTCAAGCCTCTGGGAGGCCGAAAAAGGCCTCAAACCAGCTGAAAATCAGCTGTGAGGCGCAGTGCAGGTAAGGGAGCGGTGAGAGTGGGGATTGTGTGTGCATGCATAGGGGGCATGGGGGGTGTGCATTGCCTTGTGGGTGCTGGCACGTGAGCGTGAGTGTGCAAGTGTGTGCACAATTTTTGGCACAGGAGCCCAAAAAGGTTAGCCACCATTGGCCTAAGATGAAGAGGGGGTGGCCCTGGGTCTTCCTCTGAATGCCCAGCCGGACTGTGCCCTTCCCCCATTTCTTCCACAGCCACCAGAGCCACACTCCCACTCCCTGTCAGCTGCTCAATCTCCCCCTCAGAATCAGACTCCAACAAGGGCATGACAGGCCTCCTGCAACACTTTGCAAGTGAAAACAGAGCTCAGGAGGGCCACATGTGGCCCTACCGAGCTCTGTTTTTGCTGGCAGAGGCACCGCAGGCTGGTCCCTTGCTGTTTCCTGATCTGGCTCCCAGGTCTTGAGTTTGACACCTCTGGATTAGGAGAAAGGCTGAGAGGCTTGTCTGTAAGGAGGGTCAAATGTGAAGATGGGATTGCCCCATTTTACATTGTTGTAGCCAAAAATCTGGCTCACTTAAAGCGATCAAATCACTTTGTAGCTTCAACATAAATGTATTAAGTCTGCAAACAATGATAAAGAAGTAAACAAGGTGCAAATTACAACATGACATCAGAATATTTTTAATAATCCCTCCTGAATAGCCTTTATCCCATCCTACTGGGTCAGAATAGCAGCTATATTATCTTTAAGATTTGGTCACTGAATGTAAACAATGTGATTTATTGGGTCATTGGTTTCTGTCTGATTCTCCCACCTGTGGCCACTCCGGATCAATTCAGCTTAGATTAGAATAACAGAGTTGAAGGACTTTGGAGGTCTTCTAGTCCAACCTCATAGAAGGAGACCCTACTCCACTTCAGACAAATGGCTGTGCAATCTCTTCTTAAAAGCCTCCAAAGATGGAGCATTCACAACTTCTAAAGGTGAGACATTCCACTGTCTCACTGTCAGGAAACATCTCCTTAATTCGAGGTTGGATCTCTCATTGATAAGCTTCCATCCGTTACTTATTGTCCTGTCCCTGGGTGCTTTGGAGAACAGGTCAACCCCAGTGGTGGGATTCCAATTTTTTTACCTCAGGTTCTGTGGGTGTGGCTTGGTGGGTGTGGCTTGGTGGGCATGGCAGGGGAAGGATACTGTAAAATCTCCATTCCCTCCCCACCCCACTAACCTGCTTTCCACCTCCATTCTCCTGTGCAGGACAACAAAAGAAAACCCAGCTGATCAGGTGAGACTCAATGGGAGGCAAAGAATAGATGGGGGCGGGGCCAGTCAGAGGTGGTATTCCGAACTACTCAACATTTCCGCTACTGGTTCTCCGAACTACTCAAAATTTCTGCTACTGGTTATCCGAACTACTCAACATTTCCGCTACTGGTTCTCCGAACTACTCAAGATTTCCGCTACTGGTTCTCCAGAACTGGTCAGAACCTGCTGAATACCACCTCTGGTCAACCCCCTCTTTTCTTGCAGCCCCTCAGATTTTGGAAAACTATCGTGTCACTTAGTCCTTCTCTTTGTCAGATGAGACATATACCAGTTTCTGAAACTGATCATTGTACGCTTTAGCCTCCAGTCCCTTAATCATCTTTGTTGCTCTTCTCTGCACTCTATCTGGAGTCTTAACATCTTTTTTATATTGTGGTGTCCAAAACTAGACCCAGTACTAATGCAGCATAAAGGGATCATAACACTTCATGTGATCTTGATACTATCTCTCTGTTGATGCAACCTAGGACTCTCCTTAACTTGAGTGGGGAGGAGACAAGTTTTGATGGATGCTAAAGGGCTGGGCCCACTGTATTTTATATTTTAGAAAACCCTGGGCCTGTCTTATTTACGCTTCTTTGAGAAGGGATCCTTGAATCTTTGGGTGTCTGCTGATTCTTACTTATGGAGCTTCGTCATGCTCTCTCCTCCTACAATACTTACCATAAACCCCCATCAGTATCACAGCCACCATCAAGAGAACGTTCCCAGTGCAGGAAAGCCGCAGAACAATCCAATGCCAAGAAGGGCATATTCTGTGATCTGCAAAATTCAAACAGAAACATTTGGAACATTACTCTAACCTAAGTGAATTGGAGCTTTTATCTTATGTATTTTGCAGATCACCTGACTAAATACTAAATAATAACAAAGTCATATTAGAAAGGCAAGTTATTGAATCTCTCAGCTCGGCATGTTCTCCTTGACCTTCCATTGGACATGTGATATTTCCCTTTTCTTCATTTTTGCTTTTTTATTTAATGAATAAAAATATCATTTAAAAAACTGTTGAATCAGGGTGATTTATGACTCACTTGAATGGTTGCTATTTTGATTTTTATGTATTCCCCAGCAGACTGCATTTTGTCCTGTATTAAGGTTTTTTTTTTAATGCTTTTAATCCATTTTAGTTAATCCAAATGTTACCAATAGAAAAGAATATTTGCAGCTCAGGGTTGAACTGTTGAGTCCCTGGTGCTCTGAGTTTTGTTGTTTTCTTACAGACATTTCATTACTGAAATAGGTAACATCATCAGTGCCAAAAGAAGTGGGATTTGTTCTCTGTTTATATATGATGGCTTGCCCTGTCAGTGTTGGTGGGAGTGTTGTTTTCTTCTTGCTAGTTTCTTGATTAAGCTGTAGTTTAGGGCTTGATTGTTTATCTGAGTTAGTAGTTCCTTAATTGGAGTATTGTTTACTGCTTGATTATTGGTGTGGTATTAATTCTGTTGTTAATCCCTGTTTCTTTGTATCTTGATTGCTAGCTGAGGAGATGTTTCCTTTTTAGGTTTTTGACTGTCTCTTTTGAATGATGTACAAATGTTGTTTATATTGATATGCCTATTGATGGCTAATTTGTCTGAATGCCAGGTTTCCAGGAATTCCCTACAGTTTTTAGACTTAGCTGGGTTTAAGATGCTCATAGTTTCCCAGTTGAAATTATAGTTAAATTTAAATGTTAATTGTACATAGTTGTGTTGTAAATAGCAAGGACATAAAATATATTAAAATAAATAAATTTCCAAACAATGGTACTGGCTATATTCAAATTCCCCCCCAAAAAAATTGTGTTAAAGATTATAAAACTTAGACAACTACAGAATAAAGGAAAAGGAAAAGAGAGGGGAAAAAGAAAAAATAGGAAACCTCCCTTTTCATTCCAAGCAAGTATAATATACATTAATAGCTTATTACTATTCCTTAAAATATAACCAAGTATTTCTTCATTTCATATCTTACCCAATTTCTATCGTTCCTTTCTATTGAATAGCAAAGTCCATTAAGGGTTAACAGAAATAACATTATATTACAATTTCTAGGAGCTGCTCATAAATCAACACATGCCAAATTATTTTGCTGTTTATACTGCACTCTGCATTGGACAAAGAATTTTAAATTTTGCTCGGATGAAATGCATGACTTCTTCTCCAGTTACATTTCTCTTAGCTTCTTGTTTTTGCTAATATGCCAAGTTAAGTTGAACTTGAGATTTCAAAAGAGTTTGAATAAAGTGAATTTTGAACTAAAATTTGAATGCATTTAAGGAGACATGCCGGAATATCAGATTCCCCCCCCCCAGTATAATTATCTGTTATGCATGCATTATTAGGGGAAGGGCAAAGGGCTGAATGTGACCACCCCTTGACTATAAAAAATTGCTATAAGATTGTAATTGGGCCCTTAGGTTAGCTTTCAAACCAAGGTCCTTATATCTTGGTACCAAAATAAAAGCATAATTTTGTATCACACCTTGTGTCTGGTGACTTCGCTCAGCTTTGACACCAAGCAAGAGCCCAGTTTTGGGGGCAACATCCACACCGAGGTCTGCACAGAACCATGTGGGCCACTGCATTTTGCACCAATTGGAGCTTCCGGATGATCTTTAAGAATAGCCCCATGTAGAGTGAGTTGCAATAATCAAGATGGGAAGTGACTAGGGCATGAATGACCGTGCAAAGGGATTGTCAGTCCAGGAGAGGGTGTAACTAGTGCACAAATTGCAGTTATTATAACTTTTTATGCATATTTTCCATCTCCAAGCTGTATAAACTTGGTTAGTGCAGGGGTGCCAAACTCGTGGCCTGCGGACTGGATGCGTCAAACACTGGCGACATCCATGTCTGATTTAGTAAAAAAAAAGTCGTGATATGTCATGTGATGACATGAGTTTGACACCCCTGTCTTATTGTCTATAAGCATATCAGGTGATGTGTGTTTGTGTAATGAGGGAGGGTGTGGCCTAAGGAGATCAACACCCTATATATATAAAAACATATATATATAATATAAACAAGGACAAATAGGCTGAAAAACAGCTTCTACCCCAGGGCAGTAGCTCTTTTGAATTCTGCTGTATAGTGCAGTGTTAGTGTGGTATCGGGGGTTTCCGGTTCAATGTGTGAACAGTGAAGGATGCGTGTTTGTGTTTATTTTCATGGTCATTATGTGCACTGAAGATGGTGTTTGATTTCACTGTATGAGGTGCAATGACAATAAACTAAACTAAACTAAACTAAACTTAACTATATCAAGCTGTGCACAATTATTAGGCAGCTTTTTTTCCTCAGGCAAAATGGGCCAAAAAAGGAGAATTAACTGACTCTGAAAAGTCAACCATTGTAAAAAGTCTTTCAGAGGGTTGCAGCACTCTTGAAATTGCTAAGATATTGGGGCGTGATCACAGAACCATAATTTTTTTTTTGTTGCAAATAGTTAGCAGAGTTGCAAGAAACGTGTTGAGAAAAAAAGACGCGCATTAACTGCCAAAGATTTGAGAAGAATCAAATGTGAAGCTACCTAAAATCCATTGTCCTCCAGTGCTGTCATATTCCAGAAATGCAACCTACCTGGAGTGCCCAGAAGTACAAGGTATTCAGTGCTCAGAGACATGGCCAAGGTAAGGAAGGCTGAAACCCAACCACCACTGAACAAGACACATAAGTTGAAGTGGCAAGACTGGGCCAAGAAATATCTGAAGACAGATTTTTCAAAGGTTTTATGGATTGATGAGATGAGAATGACTCTTGGAAGACCAGATGGATGGGCCTGTATCTGGATCAGTAATGGGCCCAGAGTTCGACTTCTACTCAGGAGCCAGCAAGGTGGAGGTGGCATATTGGTATGGATTGGTATTATTAAAGATGAGCTAGTTGGACCTTTTCGGGTTGAAAATGGACTCAAAATCAACTCCCAAACCTACTGACAGTTTTTAGAAGACACTTTCTTCAAGCTGTGGTACAGAAAAAGTCTGTGACTTTCAAGAAGACCATGATTTTTATGCAGGACAATGCTCCATCGCATGCATCGAAGTACTCCACTGCGTGGCTAAGTAGTAAAGGCCTTAAAGATGAAAGAAGAACGACATGGCCCCCTTCCTCACCTGATCTAAACCCAATTGAAAACTTGTGGCGTCTTCTTAAATGGGAGATTCATGGTGAAGGAAAACAGTACACTTCTCTGAACAGCGTCTGTTATTGAAAAGAAGGGTAATTATATTGGTCATAGGGCGGGACAAATGTTTATTTGTATGTTTTGAGTTGTTTGTTTGTTCTTACTTTAACAGATGCAAATAAATGAGTGAGATGGGCAAATTTTTGGTTTTTCATTTGGTTGCATAATAATTCTGCACACTAATAGTTGCCCAATAATTGTGCACACATATTCTCCTAAGAAACCCAAACTCTCACTTTTACTTTCTTAAATATTCAGGTTTGAGGTTTAGTAATGTTTTGGATTGACTAAGAACACTGTAGTTGTTCAATAATAAAATCAATCCTCCAAAAGACAACTTTCCTAATAATTGTGCGCACAGCGTAGAAACCATCCAGAGCAGTAGTTGCCAACCAGTGGGCCAGGGACCACTGGTGGTCTGCGAGAAAATTTTGGTGGTCTGCAGAGAAATGTCACCCCCAAGGCACCCCCACATGGCCCGTGGAAACACAAGGCTTGTATCGCTTGCGTTGTGAACAACATAAGGTAGTGAGGGGAGGGGGGGGGACTTGCTCCACTCGCCCCACGTGCCTCTCTGGCCACTGGGCTGCTTCTTTCCGCTTCTTTCTTGCTTGTGGCTGCATGCAAGGAAGGCAGCAAAAGTCTTTCTTTCTCTCCCCCAAACTTCTGCCAGAAATGAGTATTTGGGACCCTGCAAGGCATCCTGCTCCAAGAGGCTGCGCCGCATGATGAGTCTCATAAAGACTCATTTCTGGGGGAGAGAAAGAAAGACTTCTGCTGCATCTGTTGCTTTCCTTGCATGAAGCCAAAAGTCTCTCTCTCTCTCTCTCCCCCTCTCTCCCTCTCTCTGTCTCCTGAGAATGGAGCTGGAGATGGTATCCTGCGATCCCAAATAAAGAATGATCGATCAGTAGGAAAACGGGGTGGGGAATTTTCCTGCAGACTTTTTTGGGATTTTCCCAGGATCTCTGGTCCGTGGGACTTAAAATTATGAGTTTGATGGTCTCTGAGGTCCAAAAGATAAGCGACCCCTGATCCAGAGAGTACTGTAAAGCACAATGGAGTGTACATAAGTACTATTGCTATTGGAAAAACAGCCAGATTTTCAGGGGTTTCTAGGATATTATCAAGGTAGGAGCCATATCAGACTCTGGGATGATGATGTTCTAGAACATGGGTGTCGTCGCCGAAGAAGCCCAAACCGTCCGCAGTTTTGATCCGTGCTCGCTGCTGGAGCACTCTGAGCCACCTGGATTCGGGGCTGAAGCCACCCCATAAAGGTGGTGAAGAAGGGGGAGCCGTCAGCGGGGTTAAGGAGAGCCGCATCTCTCCTCCTTGGCTGGCCATTACTCCCTTTCCCAAAGGCGGTTGCAGCGGTGGTCAGAAATGGCCACTTCAAAGAAGAACCCGACCGGACAAGATTGTGCAGGAGGAAGTTTAAAGGAGAAAGTTTGACTGACCAGGTTGAATGGAGAACATCTATTTAAGGTACCTGGAACCTAAATTTTAAAGACTAATACTATTCCTAAAAAGATTTTAAACTGCAAAAAAGAAAGGGAAAGGAAACGGAAACGGAATTGGCTTTTTTCCCTCTAA